CATACATACTAACATTAGTATACTTTGTAAGTGATCTTGGAAGTTTCTTTTTAAAAGAGAACTTAACTGACTTCAGTAAAATAGATTTCAATTCCTCTTGAATTTATACTATAAAAGTTTTGGGAGTAACTCTTAAAAAAAATTTCAAGATAGCTATTACCTCTAAATCTGGTAGAATATTTTACATATTTCACATCATTTATTTCATGTATCTTTTTCCACTTTCACTGTATACAATCTTTTTGAGTTCATACTGCTTTGTGGAGAATAGCTCTTGCTGTTCTTAGATAACATGCTCCCTAAAAAAAAAAAAAAGAGGATAAAGGGAATTGAAAGATTCAAAAAAAAAATAATAATAATAAAAAAAAATCAAAAATATCACCAGGTTTGCAAATTTCTTATTCATATGCAGTGACATATCACTATTAACATCACACTTCCATCAATGAATACAGAAGTATTGAACTGTCCTCTCATACTCCATGTTCTCACATTCTCCTGTCTAGACTTACTGTCTCTGTAGAAAATAGAGGGAAAACCTGCATCACAAATACCTGATTTGACCACAGTTCAACCAAAATCGTTTTTATGTTTTCCAAAAATCTGACTTACTGTTTTGCAAATAAATGGATAAAGATGAAAATATATATATATTTTTCCATCTCCTAGACATTCTTCAATGAGACAGTGATTAGATTGGCATGTTGTTTTTCACTGTTCATGAATAAAAGAGCTGGCACAAGTATTACCAAATAGCTCAACAATATATATATATATTTTTCTTCTTTTTTCTTTTTTCCTTAGTCTGGAAGTGGGCATTTCTTGGGTCAGCTGCAAATGGTATATACTTTCCACTAACTAACTTTAATCACATTCTGACAATATTCAATACAGCAATGAAATACAATGTCATAAATGTTCCCATTAAGTGTTTTGAATATTACCATCCCTTTGTCACTTTGGATAAGGTATGCAAATGGTCTTCTACAGATAGTGCATGTCGTACAGTTGCAACAGTTGTTAATTGTAGGCAAAAGCTACTTAGTTCCTAGCTAAGCAGATCTTTATGCAGCTTTCTGGTGTGGACTATTGCATGAGTCAAATTAGATATACAATTGAAACTTCAGTGAGACATTGTCTTCCTATAATACTCAGATGTGACAATTATCTGATCAGAGGGAAATGAATTGCATAAACCATTGCTCAGGTATGCACATTTTACAATGTTTTTGAAGTAAATCTCTCTTGTGTAAGTACATTGTCCTATTATGACAAAATTTTGTTGATTGCATGTGTATCATTACACTTCTCTGTAAAATTTGAGATTATCTTTGCACAAGAAAATGCACACATAATGTTCAGAATATAGTTAATGATGTTAAGTACTTCCACTATACTTCCAACAAAAAAGAACCAGATAAACACTTGAAGTAAGCTTGAGTAAAAGTGGTTATGAAATAGTAGAGGTGATAATCCTTAAGAAGAAATTATAATGTTAAAAAAAAAAAAAAAAAAAAAAAAGGCCAGTAGATTTTGGGCAGGCAGACTTCAATAAACTCAGAAAATTGGCAGCACTCGGTTGGAAGCTTAGAAGAGAACTGGCAGGTTCTACGAATATATACAGAAATGATATTAAGGTCACAAGTTCACACTATCTCAACACAGAAAAATAAAATATTGAGAGATGAACTGGACTACATCATGAGTTCTTCTTTGACTTCAGAAAAGGAACATTTAAAAAAATAAGATACAGGGAATGAAAAGTAGGTTAAAGCAAATATGAATGTGGAGCATGAGAATGCAAAGACAAAGTGAAGGATTTGCTGAGGATATGTTAATGGAGGCAGTTAGTGGGAAAGGTTTATTATCTAAAAATGATGCCAGGGATACGTTTAATGACCAATTTTAATTTTTATTTTTTAAAATTTGTCCTTAAGAAAATGGTCACTTTTGATAAATTGACTTCTACAGTGAATTCCCACAATAAACATATAATAGTCTTCAGTAAATATTATGTTATATACGTGTTCCTTACGTTAAGAGATTTCAGAGAAGAAGGCTAGATAAATTTAAACCTAGGATATGTAAGACAGTGCTTGTGAATGGTGTCAGGAGCCTTATAGGCTATCTTTGAGATCTCACAGGCATCAGCAGAATAGAAGAGTTTTTTCTATTCTTTCTTTCTTTCTTTCTTTCTTTCTTTCTTTCTTTCTTTCTTTCTTTCTTTCTTTCTTTCTTTCTTTCGAAAAGAGGAAAGGAAGAAATTATAGGTCAGCCAATTTTCAGTACTATAAATGATCAAAGAACTATTTATGAGTCCCTGAAAGTGAACAAGGAAATGAGTAGCAGCCAAAATTAATTTGTCAATAACAGGTGTCAGGCCAATTTAATTTCCTTCTGTGACAGGCAACAGACCTTCTAGATAGAGAATACCTCTTGGATGTCATATATCTCAAATCTAGTGGAGCTCTTGACACAGATTCACAACATCTTCATAAGTAACCCATTTGATCTAAGGAAAAAAGTAACTGGAAATGTATTTGTATAGATTCAGAGAATCACAAACTCAGAGAACCACTGAGTTTTGAAGGGACTTCTTGAGATCATCTAGTCAGCTCCTCATGCTCAAGCAGGGTCAACAAGTACAGATCACTCAGTATCATGTTAAGTCAAGTTTTGAGTTTTTCCACATATGAAGACTACACAATCTCAAATTGTGTAAAAATCAAATCAGTGGAAACTAAGAATCAATGGCCACAGATTGCTTTGGCAGTACCGCTTACATGTGTTTCATAAGTTTTATCTTACCTGTGTATATATCATTAAAAATGCAATGTTTAGATTTCTGCAATGTTGGGATTTCAGTCAGTTATCATATATTAGGGACCTCAACAGACTTAAAAGGTGAGCCCAGGAGAATCTAACAAGGTTCAACACAGCAAAGTGCAAGGTTTTGCACTTGGGTCAGAGTAGTCCCAGGCATATATACAGACTGGAAGGAACAGTCCTTGATAGTAGCCCTGTGGAGAAGGACCTGGGGGTCTTGATGGATGAAAAAACTTTATATGAGACAGCAGTGTGCTCTCGCAGCTCGGAAAGCAAATGGTATCCTGGGTTCCATCAGAAGAGAGGTGGCCAGCAGGGACAGGGAGGTGATTGCTCCTCTCTACTCTGTCCTTGTGAGGACCCATCTGGAGTACTGCATCCAGATCTGGGTCCCCCAATGAAAGAAAGACAGGGAGCTGTTGGAGAGGGTCCAGAAGAGGGCCACAGGGATGTTTAGAGGGCTGGAGCACCTCCCTTATGAAGACAGGCTGAGGGAGCTGGGCTTGTTCAGCCTGGAGAAGAGAAGGCTACAGGGTGACCTCACTGCAGCATTTCAGTACCTAAAGGGAGCTGACAAACAGGAGGGTAGATAATGGCAGGACAGGGGGAAATGGTTTTCAGCTAAAGAAGGGAAGATTTAGATTGGATGTCAGGGGGAAGTTCTTTACTATGAGAGTGGTAAGGTCCTGGAACAGGCTGCCCAGAGAGGTTGTGGATGCCCCTGGAGGTGTTCAAGGCCAGGTTGCATGGAGCTCTGGGCAGCCTGATCTAGTATTAGATATGGAGATTGGTGGCCCTGTGGCAGGGGGTCTGGAGCTTGATGATCCTTGAGGTCCCTTCCAACCCAAGTCATTCTATGATTCTGTGATCAGAGGTGAGAACAGAAACACTATATTTTGAAATGAAATCTTTGAAAAGAACTGCTTTTCCCTCTCTGCTTAAGTACAACAGTGTAGTCAGTATTTAAGAAGCATTAAATATTAAAAAAAGGATTTTAATCCCATTTACTATCTGATCTGAACAAAACATCAACTCTCTAATTTCTAAGTAATTCTATTATTTTCATATTTTATTCCTTTTTTTTTTTTTTATTTCTTAGGTTTATAGAAAATGTCTTCTCGTAAGAGGTACTTTCGAGGTTGATATTAATGCTATCAGCATCACTTCCTTGGAGTGAACAATGATTCATGTTTAAGAACTCAAGAACATTATGTTTCAGGAATTACTTTTTTTCCATTGTATTAGATTTGGGATGAGATTTGGGAAAAAGATTATGTACACTTACATTATAGAATCATAGAATCACAAAGTTGGAAACGGCCTACACAATCATCTAGTCCAACTGTTAATATTGTATTTACTTTTCTTTAAAATAATGGATGTTTTCAAATAGAAATCATTAAAGAAGTAATGTAAACATTTCATGAAAATTTATCACATCCAGGAGAAGTGTAAGTGCTCTGGGCAAGTCACAACTGAATAAAGCATTCACATTAAATGCTAGGCATGTTAATTCTAGGATGCTAATAACTTCCCAGTCAACTCACCCAATCAATCAAATCACTCAGATCATTCACACCAGAGGTAATGCATATGACACAAATAAGACCCATTGAATAACTTGTTTCTCAGGCACTTTTTATGCAAAGACACAAATTTTTATGCAAAGAAGGCTTTTGAAAGTGTGCCACAGAAATGAGCTTTCTTTGCCTGCTGGTTCAAAAACTAGCCAGCTGCTCCCAAAAGACATACATACTCATTCATATTCATTCCTATCTTCAAGACAAATGATGTCAGAGATTTTATTCATTTCAGTGGACCGTTTAAGTAGAAGTGTCTTAAGTACTTCTATGCAATTAAGAGTAGACCAGCTATTTCCATCAGATGCTAAGTGTTTTCTATTGCAAAGAACTGTAGCACTGTGGAGCATACTCAGCATTAATTACAGTTTACACTGAGATTAATCTGTGAAACTTGGTGATTGCCCATTGTATGGCAACTGTTGAGTCACAGCCTGAACCACTGATTGAGACCCAGGGGAAGGACCCAGTCAGTCCTGAGAGCACAGGTGAAGGCAATTCAGCTGTGTTACAGGTAGGGTTGGAGCCTTGCTCCACCTCTCTTAGACCTCATTTAAGGGCTGACTGCCACTGAGGAAGTAACTCTTTCTTGAGCTTTTTTCTTGGTGAAGCTTTCCTCTGCAAATCTAGGATCTTCTGATACAGGTAAGCAATCTTCCTTTTCTTTATGGCAACTTTCTATTGTGCTGGTTCTTCTGTTATCACATCTTTTGTGTAATGCCTTTCCCATTGTATTGATCTGTCCAATTGCCTCACTCATAAAAATATTATAATTGGCTTCAAAAACTTCTTGACAATTTCAGGTACCAGCGTAGCGTAGTAGCTTTGGCAGTTCTCTGCTTAGAATAAAGGCTAGGTGGTAGGGTGAGTAGTATGTACCTGCATCTCTAATGCTGATAAGCTTTCAAAGCATATATTTTTGACATATATTTCCATAGTTGGAAATGCATTTTCCTTTTCTAAAGGAAGTTACTGAAACAAAATCCAAAGTTAACAAGTTCATGGATGTCATAGGGGCCTCCTACCAGATTCTAGTAACTGTCTGAAAACAAGAAAATACAACTTGACTAGATTCTCATTAAAAGTAGGTAAGTCTGTGAGCATGTACAAAACAGTTGTAACTAAATGCATAAATACAACTGAACTCTGTAAGTCTATCAGATATTGTTGCACATTTGCCAAATAAATTGCTATTGACTAATTGAATGTCTGCTTGATTAAATTTGTAGAGATTTTAGCAATTATTTTTCTGTGAGAGTAACTCAATAAGATTTCCATTATTTTTTTTACTAAATATAGTATATTTTTAGCCTTCAGATCTCACACAACATATATGTTAAACTGTAAATGTTAACAGTGTAACAAGTTGGAAAATATATGCATGTAAAAATAAAACAAGATGTTTTCCATGCTACTTTAAATCTCTGATTGAAATCTTCTGTGGTGTTTATCTAGGATCCTATTTCATCCTTCCACAGGTATAGTCAATTGTTATCTTCATCTTAGTATTGTACGTTACGCTTTGCTGCTTAGCATAGCTGTTCAATGCTTGGATTTAAAAAACAAACAAACCTTTTTTTAAAGTAGAGGTGTGTATAAAATAAAATGTGCATACTTCTTTGCATTTATTAGTATACTAGCAGAAGCGGTGTCTGCTATTTAATAAAAAACTTAAGATGATTTTCCTGCTGAATCAAAGTGGGGAGGAGATAGATCTGTTGCAGATGGATGTAAAATATTAGTGCATTCTTAACTGTTTTCCATTCACAACAAGCAAATATACTTACAGGCCAGATTACTACTATTTTTTTGTCATATGAAACATCAAAGAAAGAATAAATAAAATTGTAAGTAAATACTTCAAGTATACTTGTGGACACCATCTTTTCTTCATTATGTGCATGTAAGCAATGAAACTAAATTTGAATTTGTATTTAACTGAGAAATTCCTATGTCTCTTCTTTATTGATGACAATGTCCTTTTTTATCAGCTTTCCTTATAGAAGGGTCAAGAAGGAAATAAGAAATTCCCAGAAATGCTTTTTGTAGCTTTCCATCTTGGATATAAGAAAGTTTAGTCAGATTCATCCAAAATATAGACGTATAATAGTATACATATGTCACTTTAAATAGTATGTCTCCTGGAAAATAACATTGCTTGAATTTTGAAATGGGTATATAATTGATACCTGATGAAATAGGTCTTGATAATCTACAATGACAGTGAGAAAGCATGTTTGTAACTTGCTGTTACTCTGAGGGAAGCTAAAACTGGAGGCTGAGCAGAAAATGCTGATAAGGATTGTTAGTGCCTGGGAATAATTATGGAGTCTATAATTTTTAATCTCTAAATTGACCATTTAGGTAGCATCAGAAGGACTGAAGTCTGCTTAATGAGAGTTGCTGATGATTATCTTCATGCTATTTCTAATTTTTCAGGTGATCCATTCTGATCACCTCAGCTAAGGAATACCATCAAAAAAGGAAATATATTAGTATATTAGAAAATTATTGGTGAACAGACAATCATGTGAAAATTGAATATTGCATCACATCAGTTATCTAAACAAAGAACAGTATATAATCACTCTTTAGAACTGGGACTTTGTCTTGATAACTCATCGATAATTAGAAGATTTTGTTCAAAGAAGTCTTCACCTAGGTAGCCACAAACTATATACACTGCAAACAAAACCTAGCCACTATTATACTTCTGATCAGCAGGTTCAAAAGTCAAGGCTTATATTACTAAAAAGCAGTAAATAAGTGATGAACAAGATGGTAAATTATTCATCAGTCTAAATCATCTACCTATTCATCCTAATAGAAACACAAATTACCGTGTCATAAGGGAAAACAACCCTCTACTTTTAATAAACTCAGGTTCTCATGGCAAAGAAAAGCTAAAATTATACTGGAAGATGATTAACTGATGTCAGGTGATTAGAAGTTATTTTATTTCTTTCATTAGATTTAATTAATTATGATATCCATACAAAGAATCTTGATGTTTAAAATGCTTAACTGAATTTACAATACAATAATATCCACAGTGAAATTAGCAGAGATGAAAATGATTTCTACTGATAGAAATATTTAAATGCAAATTTACAGGAGGAGTGCTTGGTAGATACCATAAGGCATACACATTCTCAGAAGTCAGAAGGAAAAAATGAATAAAGACAACCAAATCAATATGGTGGGGAAGTTGCGGAGAACACAGAGAATGTGTCTGACAGAGAAGGAAATAAAAACAGTGATATAAAACAGAATAGAACAGTAGAGAATTTTTAAAGATTAGTGTGTCCTAAAAACCTAAATACATTACATTGAGGGAGTAACCAACCGGAATGAGGTTTTAAGGGTGAATAATGAAGCTGGAAGGAAGGAAACATTATGTGGCAGCACTTTGGGTACAAAGGTGACATATTTTAAAGTCAAAGAGAAAACAACTTCAGACTATGGAGAAGACAGGATATGTATTTTATAATACATAATTAGAGAGAAATGAATAAGTGACAGCAAATATGAAGACCAGAACTGGCAGTGAAGATAGCAAATAGGTCTCCCCAGTTAAATTTACTGGGGAATTACTTCTGTGCATCTAATGCTCTATCTTGCAGGCTTTCTCATGTGGTGTATGAGAAGTATGAATTTATTTCAATATGTTCTAGGAGAAAAACAAGATCAGTTCTGAATTGTACAGCCAAATCAAATTTAAAATCTGGATCTAGTTCCTAAGAAATATTAGTGAATAATTGCAAAATGAGAATTCACTAGAAATACATACTGATTAAGTGTTAATATGCTAAGGAATTAATTTGGGTGTAAAATTCTAGTGAGCAGAAAAAATGTGGGAGAAAAAGTTTATTAATTTTGAAGTTAATGAGGGAATAGCAAGAAGGATTAGAGTTCTTAAGTTTTCTGAATGATCTTACGTTTGTGACCTTTTTAAAACCCTAAATATTTTTCAAGGATCTTCCACGTATTTCTGTGAAAGAGTCCAAGTACCTGGCCATACACCTACACACACTTTGCTGCTGGTGAGAGAGAGTGTCTCAGGGATCATCCTTCAGGGCAATGCTTAGGATTCCTTGAGGGCAATGGAATTTGTGTGTACTAAAGATGAACATACAGGGAACATAGTGAGCCACAGGACTTCCTTTTTAAAGTTTGTTTTTTATTCCAGCCTTAACACAAAAGATGGAAAACTTCATAGAAATGTCTTTCCTGTAAGTTCCATAAAATTGTATTGAGGAGAAGATAAATTATATTGACTCAGCCCTTATGCATTTTAATACATTCCACAATAGGTTTCCAGATCTAAATCTTTAAATCATATTCATCTGAAGTTTGTTAAGGTCAACTTACTGTAACTTATGCACTATCTCACCATGTGGAAGAATATTCTATCAGAATTAATGAGTGAGCTCTTGTCTCTTTCCTTCAGCCATTTTATTCAGAAGTCTCATCTATTACGAAATATGCAGCAGAAGCCATGAGAAAACCTATATGTTACTGAACATCTTCTAATGTCCTGACTTTGTTTTGCTCTGCACTGTGCAGAATTAAAATTACTTGTGACCTCAAGTGCACCCTTGATATTTGTCAGTGCTGGAGAAAAGAACCGTGGCCCTTGGAATGTGTTCTGGATCCTCTGTGTAGAGCTGTGCTGCATTAAATCACTTAAGATTAGCACTGTGATAGCTTTTGTGACATTTCATCTGCCTACGTTATGAGATTCCTCCATACAGCAATCCTCAAGGATTCTTTCATCAACTGAATTACATTGCCACATCATGTCTGCGCTGTTTTGACCATCACAGTTGTTCTATTTATATTTTTCTTTTAATGTGATTGATGCAGATTCCCCAAATCATATTGCAAATAGGTGTCATAATTTATGTTTCTGATGATAGAGATCAATGGTGCAGCAAAAATTATGCTAAAAAGTATCCAGCTAATAAATTTCCCTGTTCACATATTATACGTGTCCTCAGTCAAGGATGCTTGTACGTTTTAGATTTGAAGATGTTGATGACTTCTCAGGCAGCCAAATTTACATAAGATTATAAAAATTTATGTAAGATCATTAAACTTACTTGAAATTATTATCACACGTAGGCCATCTAATTCCATGAAGTCAATGCTCCCTTGAGCCAAAAAGTGTGATTCTGCTCATGCCATTTTTCTTAGATCTGTTGTTCAACAAATTTTATATCATACATACTCTACAATGAAGAAAAGTCAGACTGATTTTTCTGCTTAGTCCCTTTATCTTCATCAGTCAAAGAGATCAGAATAACTGGCTTGTACCTTCCCAAGCAATCCTCAGAGAAGGAATGCCCTGATGTCTATCATACAATAACTGATTTCATTCCCTTGCTCACAGGTGGAAACTGCTAACTAACAACTTTAAAATCTTTCTCCTAGGCTCAAGTAGAATGTTGGGTATTTTCTGACAAACTTGTGTAAAACATCTGCTTTGCCACTCCCAATTTGTTAGCTTTCACAACTGCATACTCAGTGATATTGAAAGATGTTTGTCACAGGTAATTAACTTAACTTTACTATATACCAGTTATATGCTTTAACGTGTATTTTTTTTAAGCTTTAAAAATAATAGTTGATATGCTTTTCTCATTTTGAAACCTTTTTAACCAGGAACATGTTAAAGACACACAGGCTTTGATCTTGCACAGTCTTCAGCTCTCTAAACTTAAGTTGGTGAGAATTAAATATTCTTCACTGTACAAATTCAATCCTCAAATATGTTTATAGCAATGCCTTAATTCTGCTCTGGTGAATTACTGTGATTTCACAACTAGTAATTTAAAAAGCTATTTTCATGGAACTGTGAAATTAGTTGTTTTGCCTGAGTTTATCATATAAAGATCAATGTCACAAGGGCCTTAATTGTTGGAAATCTTGAAAATTACATGATGATCTGAAGCAATTAGGCCAGCTTCCACTTGAAAGTCAGATTCTGCATTCTCGTAATAGTTAATGCATCAACATTTTCTTCCCTAAATAATGCTTACTTTGATACTCTTTCTGCTGTACTCTGTGGAATTGTTACTGCCTGTATATTGTACCAGGTAATAAATATTCCATGTTTTTTGTTACTGCTGTTTGTTTTTCATTATTTAAAAATATTACTCTGTGAATAAAAGCTAGGCTTTACTTTCTTTCTGTTCCTCTACTATTTCTTTTTTCCTGCCTTCTTCCAGGCAGGGAATGCAAAATTAACATTTCTACGTATTGTATTCCATGTAAACGTGTAAAATCCTTAGACAACATTTTGGTATTAGGGCTACCAATTTGAAGATATTTTCTAAGCCATATTTTCAATCTGTTAGATCTTGCTGCTCTATTGTAAAACAAGGGAAACAAATAGCAAGTCAATCATTTAACAAATTCATTGCTTTTACAAATGCCAAGCAAGCTGAAAAATAGAAGTATCTTTTTAACTAACAAACTCATACAGTTGTGGATAGTTTACAACAGATCAAATAAGCATGTGTGTTTAAGTTGAGAATAACTGTATCTTTGGGGGAGGAAAGTGTTCAGACTCTGCACAACAGAGGTAGAGACAGGGGTTGGCATTTTCTTGACAACCAGCTGTGATATGTCAGAAATGGGGAGGTACTTCTCTGAAAAATTTTCTTTCACTAGTAACTTTGGTTTAACTTCTACACCTTGAATGTAAGAATTTATTGTGGTACGCAAGTTTGCTAGCTTTACTGGTACATCCACCATGGCTTAATTCACTTCACTGAAAAAAAAAAAAAAGTTATGTAAGTTGCATGAAAATTGGTGGGGAGTTCCTGTCATACATAAATGTCTTCAGCCACTGTCATAAATGGATCAACACAATCAATTTGTAAAGAACAAGATTACATAAGAAGGAATAAAACAATGTTTTTCATTCTCTCAAAACTGGAGTCCTTAAGGGAGATCTGCAGAACACCTTCAAAATTGGAAATGGGGAATAAAATTTTCAACTTCTATGACATTTTAAGAGCTATGGATTAATAATAGCTGATGTTGAGACTGGAGATATTAAGCGACTGTGGCAGTTGATCTATCTGTTCTTCACTCTCAGCTAACAGTTCACTCTCTCATCAATGCGGAGAACTTTATTTCACCTTTTGGCTTTTCTGAATCCCAGTATGCTATATTACCACTAACTCATTTTCCAGCTCACATTGATAAATGGATCAAAGTGATTCAAACTTGTTCTCTACCTGGTCTTGGATAGGCTTAATTATTGTCTTTGCCTGTCAGAACCATCATGACAATTAGTCATTTTCTCAATTGCATCAGTTTTTCAACTAAAGATTATATTTGTATTCTTAATACAAATTTTGTTTTTACTGTGTTCTTAGATATATGCAAACATGCTTTCAGTTAAGATAAATATTTGAGTTAAAATCATGAAGACATAGATAAAAATTTGAGAGATTTTATCTTTGTCATGAGATGCAAATTTCCAAGAAAACAAAAAATTTGGATTCTGTTTCCTGTAAGAAAGCTGTGGGAAAACTAGACAGAATGAAGATTCCATTAAAATGAAGAAGTAAGCAAATTAGAAACAGTGTGTAGTGATGCATTTTTAAAAATTAATTTATTTCTTAGAATGTTAATATTTACAATTATCTGAGATTTATAATATCAGCAGTCAATATCTATGAAGAATTTTATCTGTAGAGGGCAAATTTGAATCTAGATCTGAATATAAATGATAAAAAAATAACAGCTAAAATGAAATATGATTAAGTCATCTGTTTGGCAAACAAACCTTTTAAAGATAAGTCTGTATTTCTGCCATACTGAGGGTTACTGCTTTTCTTCATGCAATGGCGTCATAGTTATATTTTAAGATGCATTTTCTTCATACTGTAGTTCAAGAATTTAGGTTTCATTAATATTATATGTTTTACAGTACTGTAGGACTTTGTTAATAGATATGAAGTGCTTGGAAAATCTGCAATTGAAATATCTAAAGATTTCTGGAATTTCCAGGAAACCCTCTGAGTGGCAGAGCAGTAAAAGTTCAATTTGTAAAGGAAACTGCATTGATGAAAACAACCTTGTTTACTTTAGATGCATGCACTGAAAATGATGAGATATAAATGAGAACATCTGAAAAATCTTGTGAATAGCTTGATGATAAAAGTTCAGATTCAGTCAAAAGGTAGTCAAGATAGCCAAGAAAACCAATGGCATCCTGGCCTGTTTCAGTAATTGTGTACCCAGAAGGAGCATGGAAGTAATTGTCCCTCTGAACTCAGCACTGAATAACGCCAAATAAGATCAAAAAAGACTGGATAAATTCTTGGCAAAAATAAATAATAAAAAAAAAAAGAAATAAAACCCCTAAGTAGTACTATTAAACACAGACCCTCCAATTGAGGGTCTACAGCTACAGATTGCCCATTTTTCTCCTTTAAGAAGATATCTTCCCTAAGCAAAGCTGATTCTTTATGTAGGCAGGATTTTGGAAAAAGCTCTTTAACCTAAGGCACCTGTACATATGTACTTATGTTGTCCAGAAAAACTCTAGTTCAGTTTGAAACCATGATTCCTAGTACCTTGATGTGCTGCCAAGCTCAAAACATTTTGCTGTAGCTTTGCCTTCCATAACATTTCATATTTTGTGCAGTAGAGTGCATTCTTTTTTTCCAGCTCTATTTTTTATTCAGCCACTGTTTACTCTAAAGCAAAGGTTGCAGTTCTGCAGGTCCATTAGCACATAGGTCAGTTTCATTTAAATGGCTACAACGAGTCATGACAGGCAAATGCTGTTTTGTAACTGGATCCTTCTGCTCAGAAGGATATACATTTCTACTGAAACCTATCAGTAAATGTCATTGTATCAAACAAAAGAGCATGACATCTAGCAGCTGTCCTCATTAAATAAAAAAAGAGATATCAAAAGTAAGTGGATAGCTTCTTCACTGCAGGATTTAATAAGTGAGTAGCACAATTGAGAAAAAAAAAATAAAAAGAGAAGCTGTCATTAAATCTATTTTCAAATAGCTGGAAATAGCACCTAACATTTTTTTGGAAACTATACGAATTACAAATTAAACAATCTTTTATTGTTAGGTGACAGTATTCCACCAAATCCTAGCATGAGATGACTGAAAGAGATGTCCCAAAGTTTATCTGGATCTTTATAGTTGATGGCTGAAGAGATCTACCTTTATCTACCTCAGAGCTGTGTTGCCACAAGCTATATCTGTTATAGTATTTAATATGCTTATCTCCAGCTCAACTGCATCAGAATGTGCCACTGGATAGGTATATTTCACTTTTATAGAATAGAGGGTGAGTGTCTCTCTGGTTGGACATTACGAAGAATTTCTTCTCAGAGGGTGGAGAGTTGAAAAAAGCTGCTCAGGGAGGTGGTGGAGTCACTGTCCCTGGAGGTGTTTAAGGAAAGGGTAGATGTACTTTAGGACAAGGATTAGTGAGCAATGTTGGTGGTAGGTAGACAGTTGGACTAGATGATTTTAGAGGTCTTCCCCAACCTTAATGATTCTAAGATTCTGTGATCTGGCTGAGGCTAATATTGTTCACCAGATAATTGATTATGCTCAGATCAGTAACCACAGGCTGTGTCATGCAAGTAAAAATAAATAACTGAAGAGCCAAAGGCAGTAAAGTGCCAAAACTTAGCTGACAATCAGAATTCAAAGAAAGCCCTGAGCTTGTCACTTTTGAAGTAGCACAGAAGGTCCTTTGGAGACATGGGTAGTATTCACTGTTTGTCCAGTGCATGAATTATCTGAGAAGTCTGGCCTAAGATTTCACTGGAGACCGTTACAAATACAGGTACATTATTTAGGATTTATTTATTTTTATGTAGAAAAACTGTCATAGAAAATCACAATGCCAAGAAGTCCAGTTATCAAAGAGAGAAAATGTAGCTTTCAACCTTCCATTCAGTGATTTTTTTTAAGTCCTATGTAAACAAATAAGAGATAAAATGAAAGAATTTAAATATAAGTCTAACAGGAAAAAGAAGTTCTCTTCACCAGTGCAAATCAAGTCGTCAAAATAAACACTTTACTATAACAGAATATCTCTCATCAGCTTTTTGAGAGCTAACTAGATAGTTAAATACATTTCTGTAGCTAATACGTTTTAGTTCAAATTAGCCTTTGCAGTTTGCAAAAGCAATGGGTTATTGAAAGATACAAAGTCACTTAGCATTGCTGCAGTTATAATTAAGTCACTAAAGCAGTCAGTCAATAGTTTGCTATTGTCTGTATGCAGACTGTGAAGAACAGAATCCAGATAATTTTTGAGAGTCCGATAATTTCTGAGGGCTGATTGCAAACATAATGTATGAAGTTAAAGAGATGAACAGTGAACCATAATTTTTATAAAGAAATTTGGCAAGGTCAGAAGGTAAGTTCGCTAGAAGTTCTTGCAGAAGTGTCTGTGGTAAGAGGTATGAAGACCTTTCTTTGGCACATCATCATTTCTTTTTAATTGTTGACAACCAAGTTCAGGCTGTGGCAATTCTTTGAGTCAAAATGGTTCAAATGATCCTATTCAAACAGTGCCTTATTGCTTGCAAAACTCTGGCACATTTCTTTGGAGGAGAAAGAAAAGACGCTCTGTTCTTTTCTCATGTGACTAAATTCTGGGAAGAAGTTTCATGAGTGGTTTTGTTAAAAATTTTAAATGATGAAAAAACAGTTCCCAAATTCAGTATTCGTATATTAGGGAGAATATTCTAATCCTTCTGCCTTAAAGAAGTAGAAATACAGTAACAAAATTTCAAGAAACTGATGCTTTTGGAAAGCACAAGTTCACACCATGTATTTTGGAATAAAAAGCAGGACTGTTAAGACTGCCTTCTGCTGTGAGCAGGAGCTCTGTCACACAGCAACAAACCCAGTCAAAGAGTTGCAAGTAACTAAAATGTTTTACCTGTGCATGAAGATGAAGGAGCACTGCATTAGCTACCTGCTGTTCTTCAAAATGGAACTCCTTCTTTCCTAAGGACAAACTGCCACTCCTACTGCCATCTGGTGGTTCATGTTTAATGCAACTGCCTTGTGTTGAATTTCATTTTCTTAAGAGTGGATTTCATTCAAAACCAAGCATC